AAACCATGTTTTCAGATTTTATCTTGTTCATACATACACACACACACACATATATATATATCACAATTGAATTGGTAAACCTTATTTTTTTTATTTTATTTTGGTCATTTTTATCAAGGTTTCCAAAATCTTTGTTTGATTTGGTGTATTAGAATCTACCATTCATTTATCCATTTGATAATTTATGATCTTAAAATCAGCTGTTAGATCTTGTGGATTCCACATATTCAACTACTTATGAAGTACGTTGCGACTACACTTAACATTTCTTTAATTTTAATAAAGAAAACGATAAAATTAAAGTGTAGTGTGACTAAATTATGGACGGTCTGAATTTACGCTTGCCCCTTGATCATTGGGATTGTGGTTGTCCAAAACATAGAGAAAAACTTGGTCTTGATCATTGGCATTGTGGTTCTCCAAAACAAGAAGAAAAACTTGGTTGCGCCCGTGCATCCGACCGCTCATTATTGCGCATATATAAAACATTAAGGAATGCGTGTATTACACGGTTGGACACAAACCAAAGTTTTTCTCCCAAACATGGTGTTACAGTCATTATTTATTGTCAAGAGTGAGAAGATGTGCAGTGGGTATAGTGGTGACCTACTAGTGCCCTAAAGTCCCCTAAAATTGGGAACAAAAAGGAAGGGGAGGTTGCAGAAGGGGTTCAGTAATACATGTGCTACAGACATGGGGCAGCATGCACCGCAGGACACGCCCACCTAATGTTGACTGAGACCAACTATGCCTGTCTAACCATGTGGGGAACTAAAATCAACCTTATTATATAGTATTTTTAACCAAAAACATGAAAAATATTGGGCAACCCTTTTGAAAAATAGTTGATGTTATGTGTTTTGCATTGTCAATAAACGATTTGGATTTAAAATTGAAAAAAATTTAATACAATTTGGTGCTCCTAAGCATACATATATAATATTTCATGAGAATTTGAACATTTTTCATGACATTGTTAGATATGATGATGCCATTTCTTACATAAATCTTGGACTCTGTGTACAATTCTTGGTGATATAGTGTACAATTCTTGGTGATATAATTAAAACTCAGCCACTAAAAATAATTAGAGATGAATTTTAATTATAAAAGTAATAAGTGAGAATTAAAATGTTCAATTTCTTTATTCTTTTTTAAATTTTAAGATAAGTCAAGCAAATTTGAAACATTTTAAATTGTATTCCATTTCAAATAGAACTTAAAAAAGAAAGGGAATTTTTAACCTCTTAACTACTAATTTTACTTTCTATATATATGAGTGTAAGAAAATGAAATGACAATGAAAAGACTTAGCATTTATTTTGCGCTTTCATAATGTTTTTATTTTTCCATTTTCTCTTCACTGTTTTTTTTTTTAAGAAAAAAAAAAAATAAAAATCAAATTTCCTTATAAGAACCACTACGAATGTGGTGGTCCAGAGATATATTTTCTATTTTTAGGAGTGGTAGGTTGAATGTCCTCATAGGAATGAAGTGGTGTCTGAGTTGCTGCTCTACTCTACTAAATAATAATAAAAGAGTTAATACAATCTCATTTTATCTTTAATTTTTTTCTTTTCTCCCTTAATTACTTCAAATTTTTTTTTTTTCTTTTCCATCCCTAGTGCTGCGTTCGGTAGGAAGGAAGAAAGAGACGTGGATAAAAAATAATAAAACAAGAACGAAATTCTCTTCTTTGATAGAGATGATACAGGAGAATAGGAAGAATCACCTACCCTTCATAATTTACAATTTTCATTTGCCCAAAAATATGTAAAAGAAGAGAAAAAAGACAAGTGGATTATTATAGAAGTTTTAAATTAAATACTTTTATAAATTATAAAAGTTTTAAATTACAATATTATTCTATATAAATTATAATATTATAAATATTATTAGATATAATGGCAAAAACAATTATAATTTATAAATATTATTCTATATAATAGTTTTAAATTACAGTATTATTCTATATAAATTATAATATTATAAATATTATTAGATATATTGGTAAAAACAATTATAATTTTTTCTTTCCTTTTATCTTTAACGAACGTAGTAAATTATGAGTTTATTCTCCCATCTTCTATCTAATCAAACAAAATAAAGAAAATACATAATCTCTTCCGTATGAATGTCTCATTTATCCCTTATTTTATCCCTTCCATTCAATTTTTTTTCTTCCTACCGACAGATTCTCTGCCTCTACAGGAAGGAGTGATAGAAGTTTTGAAAATTCAAGTGAAGATCACGATAAGTCCTTCTATCTTTAACTAATATAGTAAATTATGAGTTTATTCTCTAATCTTCTGTCTAATCAAACAAAACGAAGGAAATACTTAATCTCTTATGTAGGAATATCTTATCTATTCCTTATTTTCTCCCCTCCATTCAATTTTTTTTCTTTCCTACCGAAAAATAACTTTCAAAATATTCACAACGGATTCTCTACCCTTACGGGATGGAGTGACAGAAGTTTTGAAAATTCAAGTGAAGATCACGATAAATTCTTATATCTTTAATTAACATAGTAAATTATGAATTTATTCTCTTATCTTCTATCTAATCAAACAAAATGATGGAAATACACAATCTTTCTCTTTTATAGGAATGTCTTAATAATCCCTTATTTTCTTCCTTTCATTCAATTTTTTTTCTTTCCTACATAATTCTCGTTTATTATTACGTGATGTATGTAGCCGAGACATCCTACATACGGGTATATTTGAAAAAACTTGAATCTTCTATATATATATATATATATATAATAAAGTCACATTCTTGGGGACTTGAAGTACCCACCCACACAAGGCAACTAAATAGAGCAAAATAGTTGATGTATATTTTTTTTCCATTTATATAATAATAAATTCTCAACGGATGGATTTTCATTTTGTATACAACTTTGTCAGAGTGTAAATCGTATGGGTCCCTTCCTTTTTATTTGGACTCTGATAATTCGAGGAATGTCTCTTTTTAAAGATTTACTAGGTCCCTTCTGCAGTAGATAATAACTACCTCATTGAAGGTTGAGAAGATCATGGAATATGCAGTTCATAAGTTTCAATCTATTTATACTTTTCTTAATTTATATTCCAAACAAAACTTGGTCTCAAGTTTTTTTTTGGGAGGGTAAGAATATTAAGAATTAGTGGTTAATTATTGGGGAAGGTGCAAGATTAAGAATTAGTGGTTAATTATTGGGGAAGGTGCAAGGCTTGAATGTAAATTTCGGGGTTAAAAAAGTTGTTTGTGATGATGCTTGTTTTAATTTTTGTTTCTCTTTAGCATATGCAAATAAATAAAACAAATAATCTCAAACAAAACTTGGTAGAGTTGAACATATGTGGATTCCGCCACTAGTATATATAGAAGGTGAATGCAATTAGGGTCGACTCCATATAATTTGAGATGAAAGCAAAAGCGTGACGTTTGATACTTAATTTTATTGGGATAAAATCATATCAATTATTTGATACCTTTCTAGATGCAAAATATCTAATAAAATTTTGAATTGAAAATTTTCTAAAATTATCGATGAAGTTTAATTCTTTTTATAAGAAAGTTATATAGAAATTTATATTTAAGATTTATAAAGGTAAATGGTGAAGTTTAAAGAATTGTGTGAGAAGGCGTTAGTGGTTTCTTGATGTAAGTTAGTTTAAACAAATTTTTTTGTGTCACATTATTAAAAGGTAAGTTAATGTAAAAACTTATTTTTTTTTTAATTTTAATTTTCTTTTTTTATTTCTTTTCTTGTTATTTTCATCTATCAAAGCGAGCCTAAGTTCTCTTTGAGCATAGCTGCATACCACTTATCAAATTTTATTTTCAACCATGGCGCTTTGATATTAAAATCTTTATTGCCCAAAAAGGAAAAAAAGTAAGTTTCTAAAACAAGAAGCATTTCTCACCTACCCAACGCATCACCAAATCAGTATATGGGGTTGATATGATCATCTTAACATTTTCATTAGTTATTTTCTCTATTTGAGAGATGATTGCAAATTTTGTGTAAATTAAAAATATTTCTAATCAATTCCTTCCACCGTATTAAAATTTAGTAATGATTCGAATCACATAATTCTTATCAACTATGTCACTCTCACATAGATTTTGTAAGTTTAATATTCCCGCTTTTGCATTTGTTGCAACTCTGTTTGATTTAGGTAACGATTATTTTAAATTAGCAATAATTATTTTAAAATTTTTAATTTAATAATGATAGTGTCCAACCTTTTTAAATTATCTCATAATTTAACAAAATTGACAGAGTGATATAAGGCTTGTTTTGTAGGCATTTTGATTTTGGTATTTTATTTTAATTTAAAACAGAACAAATGATTTGTTGTAAAGTGTTGTGAAAGTAATAAGAAACATGTTTAGTAATGTACATTTGTTATAAGATATTTAGAAGTAAAAAGATAAAAACATATTTGGTAAAAAAATGTTACAAATTTGAAAAATATAATGGTTAATTTAAAAATGTCATCTAAGAATTTTAAATTTTTTTTTTTTTTTTTTTTTTTTTTTCACTTTTTATCACTACAGTATCAAAGTTACAATAAAACACTAAATTGGTGTTTTGATTTTTAGCCTTCATTTACAAAATAAAATTTTTTTTATTCCAATATATTTTTTTCACAAACAAAACATTTACCAAACAGCCATTGTGTGATTGGGACCGCTTTTCTAAGCAAATTTGAAAGGTTAGTTAGAACTGTAAGGTCAATTGCGAATTTAATTACTGTATATAAATGATTTACCACTACGGTCAAAGAGTGAAACAAGTACAGTGGGCTAATATAATGTCTCTGTGTGTCCTCAGACCTTGGAGATTTATTACTTCGTAACACGTGGTTGTAATTTTAACCCAGATTAAATGATTTCACTGTCAGCGCACTTTAGCACACACCAACGCGTTCACGCCCCCTAACAATTTGGGTTGTTGCTAAAATACGCTGGGTAGTTCAAAGAAAGCACTCGCCCCCTCCCCCAAGCACAATGCGCACACACACACACATACTTTCTCTCTCTCTTTCTCTTTCTTATTTTTGGGAACTTTCTTTTTTAAGTACGGAAGGCTGATTGTAGAAGAGAGAAACTGAAATTAGAAAGCGAGAGGAAGACTTAATATGTATAAGAACAGGGCATAGTTAGAGAGAGAGAGAGGGATGATAGTGGTGAGAGGTCTTTTTGTTGTGTATGGTACTGTAGAAGTTGCAGGTTTTGGATTTTTGGTGTCGGAGGTCCTTCGATTTGGTCCATGTGATATGTAACGAAAAATTATGTGTCTATATATTTATATATCACTATATATTTCGATTGTGAGTGATTTGTGGGGAGAGGGATCTCTTCCTTTTTAGGTCTACTTACCCTGCAACGAGTCTCTGCGTTGAGAATCAAGGAATTTGGTGTTACCCAGATCATAAATTCGCAGGAATCATAATGGGTATGTCCCATTTTTTTTTTGTTCTTTGTCTTTCTCGTTTTCTATTTTCAATCTTCTTTTCGTTCTGGTTTTTGGGTTATTCTTAAAATTTGGAGATTTTGTGCGTGTGTGTGATTTTGCCTAATTGGGTGTGATGGGTGTTCATGGGTATGTGTTTTTTCATCAGTCTTCGTTTTGGGTTTTTGGTCATTATTGTTCTTAAATAATGGTTATGGCTGTTTCCACTGTTGTTCTGGTTTTGTATTTTGGGCATTTGGGGTTATTGTGGGGGTGGATTTGTGTTTAATTGAATGTTTGATATGACCAATCTCTGCTTCTGTTCTGATCTTTGTGCTTGAATTTGTACTTGTCTGCTCTTTCTCTCTCTACACAATGTGTGTGTCACTCTGTGTTTTGGTTATGCTAGCGTTTTCCCACACAGAGACACAGAGCTCTACCTGCTTACTCCACACAACAACGCACAACCCACACACAGCTTTTTAGGTGGTTTAGGCGTCTTTATTGGCCTTCTTGGTATCTGGGTTATTCTAGTCCTCTCACAAATCTTCATGATTGGTCATTTATTTATTTATTTTACACAATACTTCAGTCTTGGATATAACATCTCCTTTTGTGATTGATAACGGTGGTTCTGTTTTCTTATTAATTTTGATTGGTTATTTCATTTTATCTTGGCTTTTTCTGAGCTAGAATATTTATTTTCTCAGATACCACCATGAGCTTTTCACAGGACATGGATGATGCATATGAGAAATTCATTAGGAGAATGAACCCACCCAGGTTTCTATTTTGTATTTTATCTTCTTTTCTGAAAGTCACTGCAATTTCACATTCAATACTCTCGAGATTTACTCCTGTTTGTCCACTTATCTTGTTGTCAGAGTTGTGATTGATAACGAATCCTACAAAAATGCTACTGTTATAAAGGTATTTCTTGTTTAGTCCCTTCTTGTGTACTCAAAGTTATAATTATTGGGTTTTTTTTTTTCTTCTAATTTTATGATTTTTTTTATGGTACATCTTCTATTCCATATTGCTTGCAGGTGGACTGTGCTAACAAACATGGAATACTTCTAGAAGTTGTACAAGTCCTAACTGATCTTAATCTTGTCATTACTAAAGCTTATATGTCTTCTGATGGAGGGTGGTTCATGGATGGTAGTTACCTTGCCTTTTGCTTTCACATTCTCTGAAATTTTGTTGTTTTAATGGTGAAGAAATTTTATGTTATTTTTTTTTTTTTGGTATTAAAAGAATAATATTTCTGCCTTTTTTCCAGTCTTCAATGTTACTGATCAAGATGGGAACAAGGTTACAGATGATGAAACTCTGGATTATATTCGGAAGGTGAACTGTACCCAATGCTTTTGTTTCACTTTTCTTCCATTTTTATGTGCAAATTGACCTGATTCTTGGTTTGTTGTTCAGTCTCTTGGGCCAGATTCATGCTTTATGTCTTCAATGAGATCTGTTGGGGTTATACCGTCAACGGACCACACGTCGATTGAATTAACAGGGTGTGATAGGCCAGGACTACTCTCTGAGATGAGTGCTGTCCTCACCTCCCTCAGATGCAATGTGGTTAATGCTGAGGTTTGGACCCACAACACCCGGGCTGCAGCTGTGATGCAAGTAACTGATGAGGAGACTGGAAGCGCAATTACTGACCCTGAAAGGCTGTCAATGATTAAGCAACTTCTCTGCAATGTACTCAAGGGTAGCAACAAATCCAGGGAAGCTAAGACCGTAGTATCTCACGGGGTCACTCACAGAGAGAGAAGGCTCCACCAAATGATGTTTGCGGATCGAGACTATGACCGGGATTATGATGATGAATCCTCCAATGAGAAGCAAAGACCAAATGTTAATGTTGTTAATTGGTATGACCGAGACTACTCGGTAGTCACTGTGCGTTGTAAGGACAGGTCAAAACTTCTCTTCGATATAGTTTGCACTTTGACAGACATGCAATACGTGGTTTTTCATGGAAATGTCGATGCTGAGGGGCCAGAAGCTTTTCAGGTATATCTTTTCCCTATGCCTGGAAATGCATAAAGTTTGGGAGTCTTGAGACTTGGGACTTAATATACTCTGTTTTGGTCTAAGTATCGAGTCTGAAATTGTTTTCTGCTGTCATTTGAAGGAATACTGCATCAGACATGTGGATGGATCCCCTGTGAACTCCGATGCTGAGAGACAAAGACTGATTCAATGTCTCGAAGCGGCAATAGAAAGAAGAGTATCTGAGGTAAGGGCACTATGCACATTAAAATTCTTGAGTTTTTGTTAAAATTTGAGGATTATTTTATTGGCCCTGCTAAGTGGTGCATTTGAGCTTATTATCAATAATCCCATATATAGTTTTTTCACAAAGCTGGGTATCCAATCAATTTTCCAGCTTCAACATCTATTGGAGAACACCCAATTGGTTAGATAACCTTTTCTGATTTCTTTTCACTTGTTTCATCTAGAAATTGTAAATTAGGTGGTCAATAGTCTCACATTTTGTGATTTACAATTTGCTACTTGAATAATACTAATTTTTTGTCAGATTATGTTTCCTCACATCTACTTGTTTTGCCTAAGCAGTGATGTTCTTTGATTTTGTTAGAGATGTATTGTCACATTGATGTGGACCTGCAGCATCCCAAATTTTCATATTGTTGGATCTGTGTCTTACTGATGTGTTCAATATGATTCACTCTTAGAACGATATGCTCTATTTTTTGTCAGATTATGTTTCCTTACATCAACTTGTTTTTTCTAAGGAGTGATGTTCTTTGATTATGTTAGAGATGGCTATTGTTACATTGATGTTGACCTGCAATGTTTAAAGAATTCTTGTTGTACATCAATATAATTTATACACTGTTTTGTTGGTTTTCTGTTCCTAAGAGAGGCTTAATACTTTATTTTGGCAATTCATTTGTTTCTTCTCGATCCAGGGCTTAAAGCTAGAATTATGCACTACCGACAGAGTTGGGCTGCTGTCCGATGTCACTCGCATCTTCCGTGAGAATAGCCTCAACGTCACCAGAGCAGAAGTGGCAACAAGAGCAGGCAAAGCTGTTAATACGTTCTACGTGTGTGATGCATCCGGTTACCGTGTTGATTCTAAGATCATAGATTCTATTAGACAAGAACTCGGCCAGACTATACTCCAAGTCAAAGGCAGCCCTGAAGATGTGAATCAAGTTCCACAAGAATCTCCAACCAGGTTCCTCTTTGGTGGTCTCTTCAAGTCCAGATCTTTTTGCAACTTTGGCCCTGGTTAGGTCTTACTCTTGAAGGAACTAATCATAGTTCAACCCCCATGTACATTGGTACCCCTTGACAGCAATCCTCACCACAGTTCTCAGCCCTTTCAGAATGGGAGACCGAGACCAAGACCAAGACCAAGACTTAGTTCCACTTCCACAGCAATGTCCCAACAGAGAAATAAAACCCTCAAGGACATTGAAGTGCTTGTAAATATGCCCAATTTGCTCTCTTCTTACCTATATTTGTTACTATGGATCCAACTTCACAATGGAGCCATAGAAGCAGAGATGAAAAACCCAAATCCAGTAATGACAAGAAAACACACTGTTAGATTAAAACATTTGTAAATAGTAATTTTCTAGCCTCTAATTTCTTGGCCCTATTATTAGTCAAATCTGTTATTTATTTTCAATCTGAATGAGCTGTTTTATTATTATTAGTATTATTATTATTATTATTATCACGAATGAGCTGTTTCTATTTTCTTCGGTGTCAAGTGTAGACTATGCACACTATGTTTGACTCGATTCTTGATTGTTTTGTCCACAAATTTGAAGAACAGTATTTCACATTTCAAAGGGTCAAACACAGACTACGACCCAGTTGGAAACATATTGATGTTTGGAAAATATGTCATCAGATTCAAATCTTGCATTTTTTTAGGCACCAACCTTGACCACCCAATACCCCTTTGAAGTCAGCAATGACGATGGCAGCTAACATGTATACACTTATTCAGTCACATGCTTAATTATTGTTAGGTTTTTCACCAACACTTTGATGTGAAGTTTTAAGAATAAAATATCATATGGAGACCAGATAATTGGAATTTAGTTTGGTTTGTGAACCTTTCGATTGTTTTTGATGTTGATGGCATGTCTATGGTTGAGTAACAACAACAACTGCTATTCCTATTTTTGAGTAACAACAACAACAATAATGCATTTTTTTTCTCGGATTATCATTTTTTTTTTGGAGAGGGTCACATATGAATGAAGTCACACACATATAAATTCTCCTTGTTCAATCTTTTCTATTGCATGTCGTTTCACTTAATATATTTAATTTTAATAACCTAGTCCCATGTTATTTTTTGTTTGATATTATTTTCTGTTACTTTCTATTATTTTTATAGTTTAGATCAACTCCTTTGCCAAATGACGTCTCATGCACGTAGAGGAGTGTGACCATCACTCCAGATGTGATGAGATCCACACAATTTGTGAGAACCATATCTCAAGTGTGATGATCTTCACTCTTCACTTGTGCACAGAATGTCTTGTAACATATGATATAATTATTTTCTTACTAAATTTTCAATATATGTGTTCAAACCATCGAAACAGTTGCATATAAAAATAATTAGCGTAAGCATCATTTGTTAAAAATTAAATCATAAAAATAAACTCCATGTTTTTTTCCTTTGTAATGGTCACAAGTTCTTGTTTGGTTATGAGAATTGAGCAATAATTATAAAAGTTTGTCCTATATTTTGCAGTTAATTGAACCAAGCCAGAGTCAGCCAAGACCTTTGGTGATTTTCGATTGACAAAGAGAGAGACAGAGAAGTGTGTTGGTCTTGCAAGCAAAACACAATTATTGGTATTTAAATTCCAAAAATCCACATTTCTTTATCCATTTGATTGCTACAATCTTTTATTCAAAAGGAAGGCTAGTGTAGGCAAATATTGAAAGCGATTTTAGCCATCCTTTTTTGACCAAAAGCTCCGAAAATGGAGTTGCTCTAATGACCTAAAGGAAAACAAATCAATAAAATTTAAAGGAGAAAGAGACTTTGTCAAAAAAGGGTCTTTTTTGAATCAAATACCCCACTCTCTCTCTCTCTCTATATATATACTCTTCATCACCTGCATGATTGGCTCTCTCTATCATTATTGCTATCTGATCAAGAAAGATGATGTGGGGTGCTGCCACGTGGCTTCTCTTACGCTCTCATATGGATTCATTTGGTAATAGGTATCTTAATAAAGATTAGTTAATGTATTTAAAAGAAAATAGTTTGAGGCATCTTAGTCTGTCTTGTTTAATCAAAATATTTTGATACATATTTTATTTATTATTATTTTTTTCCCTTGTTTGGGTAATGTAATAAAAACTTTGGAAGCAACAAAAGTATTTCAATCAATTTTTGCAATTGTGATGAACAAAATTTTGAAATTAACTACTTAAAATATATTTAGTTTTATTTTTATTTTACGTGTGTGGAGGGAAAAAAACTCCCTCCAATAAAAAGCGCACACGTCACCACTACCCATATCTACAGGCCAAGGACATATAAGACCCATCATGCTCAAGCCCAAGTTGAGGGTATTTACAGCCCAAAACCATTCCATCAAGGCCGAATCAAGAAGCCATCAGCCCAGTTTGTCGTCAGCCCAGATATGAGTATTTAACATCCGGCCTGTTACCCAAGCCCAGCCGGATCAAAATATATTCAGCCCAAGAATGCACAAATCCTACCATTTGAAGAATTTACTGTAGAAGGAAAATTCGGATAGGAAGTTCTGTACAAGGCAAGTTCTATGTATGGAAAATTCAACAATGGAAAGAACTCTATTAGAAAAGAATGGTTATATAGAAAGAATTGGAGGGCAAGCAACGCGAGTCCTACCATAATTTTGCAATCTTTTGTATATAAATAGAGGTTAAGACCTCCAATAAAGGATCAAGCAATTCCACACTTCTCTATACATTGTTCTTATTTATTTTTATTGTTTTTGAGTGAGTTGTTTTATTTTTCTCAGTCATTATTGGTTGAGCGAAATTTTGCACCTACACTTTGGCGCCGTCTGTGGGAAACGTATACAAATATACTCCCACTTGTTCTTCAAATTAAATCCTTTAGTCGTGTCTGGAATGTCAAACGGAGATTTAGCAATGAATCAACAGATAGAACTGATGCAAAAGATGCGAGAAGAGTTCTTGCACCAATTTGAGACACTCCGGCAAGCAAACGATACGAGTGTCGCCCAGATAGCTGCGCTTCAGCAGCAGACTCATACGCTGCACACGGCCATGGCCAGGCTAACGCCACAACCACCACCAGGCGATGCTGCGGCACCACCTCCCACCCGGAATTTACCTCCGGTTCACGAGCCTCTAGCCAACGAGACACCACCCAACGGGGCTCAACCTAGTGAGGCGCAGCAAAAGCAAGGGACGAGGTCCGAGGCGGTTGCTTCGGATAATCTCCCGCATCGCACACAGGACGAACAGGCCGAGTCCAGCCATAGGCTTACGGTATGGTCCAATGGCGTTCCAGATGGCGCACGTGTACAAGATGCATTCGATGAAAAAAAGCTCTTGAGAGTCCAGACACCAGCCGAGATGGCTAGAGAGCACAAGAACTCCTTGGTCAAGACCCCCTTTACTGACGAGGTGTACCTTGTGGAGAGGCCGAAGAAGTTCACTATGCCATCCTTCACCCAGTTCGATGGGGCAGGCGACCCTTCTCGGCATCTTGATCATTATGCGCAAAAGATGGCATTGGACGATCATAACGATCTGTGGATGTGTAAGGTTTTTCCTACCAGTTTAACCGGAGCAGCGTTAGAATGGTTCAGGAATAGGCCACACAAGTCTATCCCTGACTATGAGACCTTGTGCACTATGTTCTTAGCCCAGTATTGCGGAAATAAGAAGCAGAAGAAAAGTATAGCCAGCCTTTTTACCATAAGGCAAAGGAAGGGAGAAACTCTGCAAGATTTTTTATCCAGATTTAACATGGAGGCCTCGGAGATAGCAGATTGCCATCCTGCCACGGCAATCGAAACATTTAAGTTGGCAATGATCCAGGGAACCAAGTTTCACACATCCTTGGTCAAATATTCCCCCCCGGATATGCAGACTTTGAACGCTAGGGCACAAATCTACATTCGGTTGGAGGAAAACATAGCTCACCGTGCGCAGCACGCTACCCTCGTCACAGTGGAAAACAAGTCTCGAGAGAAAGCTGCGAGCACAAGGATGCAGAAGGTTCCTCATACCGTCACACAAGCCACCCAAGCGTCTGAGAAAAGGCGAAGGACAGAGGACAGGCTTACCCCTCTTCGTACTACCTTGGCGCGCCTACTCCAAGAGAATAAGACGAGGTTCGCGACTCCTCAGCCCATGAAACAACCCTTGGAGCAGAGGGACAAAAACAAACATTGTGCCTACCATAGAGATTATGGGCATACCACCAATGACTGCAGGTCCCTACAGCGACAGGTAGAAAGTATGATAGCGAGAGGAGAATTGGTGGAGTATCTCGCCACGAAGGAGCACGTAAAACCTCTGGAGGTTAACCCTCGACGGGTAGAGGGCAGTCAGGTAAAGGTTATCCATGCTATTCACGGAAGGTCGGAGGATGATGAAGAGTCTGAAGAGTTGTATAGATCCAGGCTGCGAGAGGCTCAAAAGTTACGAAGGTTGTCTTCGGTAAACACGGTTGCACCAGGCAGCGTCAACATTGGATTCAGTAACAACGATCTTTCTAGAGTCCAGCGCCCACATGAGGACCCCTTGGTCATCAGCCTCCTGGTAGCGAATTACATGATCAGGAGAGTGCTGATAGATCGGGGAAGTAGCGCCAACATCATTACAAAAATAGCTTTTGATCAGTTGGGGATTTCACTATCATCCATCAGGCCAACTTCCGGCCCCCTAATGGGATTTGATGGTACTAAGGTGAATCTGCTTGGGGTGATCGATCTATCCGTTACTGCAGCAAAGAGGACTCTGAAGGAAAACTTCGTCGTAACAGCAATTCATCCATCTTATAACCTCATTATGGGGAGAGGTTGGATCCATCGTATGAACGGAGTCCCCTCTACACTTCACCAAGTAATGAGGTGTTTATCCCCGGATGGCAGAGAGGTCATCGACCTCTGGGGAGACCAGGTTGCTGCAAAAGAATGTTACATGCTAACGCTACATGAAGCAAAGAGAGCGTCGAAGTCACCTCAGTCAGAGGCGAATCCCAAAGACATGATCAAATAGCAGTTACAGTACCCTCTGCCCAAGTATCTCAAGTCAGAGGAGGAAGCCGAAGCTGAAGCACCTACCGAGGAGTCCCTCGAAGCTATAGAGGTAGTCCTCGGAGACCCCCAGAAGATCACCTACATTGGCTCATCTTGCATAGCCGAAGATAAAGAAGCATTGATCAGGGTCATTTGGTGCAATTCGGATGTCTTTGCCTGGGATCACTCGGACATGGTGGGGATCGATCCTGCAGTCTCATGCCATAGTCTGAGGGTTAACCCAGAGTTCAAGCCAGTCAAGCAGAGGCACCGACGGTTCGCACCTGAATGGAATCGCATAATAGCCGAGGAGGTAAATAAACTGTTACAAGCAGGATTAATTCGAGAGGTGCAATACCCACAATGGCTCTCAAATGTAGTAGTCGTTCAAAAGAAGAATGGGAAATGGAGG